ACCACCGCCGGGTCATCTCCCCCCCCCCCCCCCTTATTCTCTCCCCCGTCCCACTGGGTGGGGGAACAAGCAAGCGAGCGGCTGTGCGGTGCTTAGTTGCTGCCTAGGGTTAAACCACGACAGAGGTCTTGGAGCCTGCTTAGAGTCCTTTTGGCCACTCATAAAAAAGAAGGGTTTCACAGTTTAAGACGTCAGTTATAATATACAAGTCAGTAGTTAAGCTTGACCAGAAAGGATAAAATTTAACTCTCCATCAGCGCATTAGAGATTGGAAAGACCCAAACAAGATTGTCACAGGAAAAAAGCACTTGTATAGTATTATTCAGTGGAAAAACCTGTTGTTAAAATTGCGGTGCATTATTTCTGCAGCTTGAAGGTATTTTTTTAAACCAAAAGCTAAAGAATAAAGAAATAAAAAGAGAAAGAAGTTAATTTCTATTAAGCTTGTCTTGCCCATCTCAGAATACATAAGTCCCTTCAGAAATTATGATTTCCCTCAGTTTTTGTTACCAATAAGTTCTCCTTTTTAAAACTAAAAAATCAAAACAATACTCATAACCAGGTCATTCTCATTAAACCTCCCTTTCCTACAAGCACAGTACTGCTATTGCCTTCCTTTCTAATTGGTAGCTGTTTCTCAGTCCTGTCTGTCTTGTCTCATGCAGAACAGGGCTGATCCACAGTACTTAAATTAATAGAAGTATTTTTCTTCTCAAAGAAATATTTGTGGGAGAATTATTCCTTTAGACTCCAGAGAGCTCTGTGTTAGGCCTCACAAGGGGAGGCTCATGTCTGGAGTAGGACTACAGAATAAGTAGGTTGGTAGGTTTATTGCAACCATGACAAAACGGAAAACGCGTGCTGCTACCCACATATCTGTGTGATTTCTATCTAGGTTATCACACAATATATGCATCAAGCCTGTCACGCAGCTTTGGGGTTCATCAGACTGCACATGAAACAGGAATCTCATGTTTTGCTATATTAATGTTTTTTAGTGTTGCTCTCGGAAAGCATACCTTATTTTCATGAACATTAAAAGCATCTGATAAAACATTAAGCTGTTTTACACCTAAAGGGTAATTACACAAAGAGTAATATGGTTTGCAGTTTGTCTTGCAACAGATGCCTAGTTTTCCATCATGAAGGAAGCAAACCCCAGCAACTCATAAGCAGATACATGGGATATCAGTGTTCATATGGAGATACTTGCCATGGCCTAAGAAAGGGTTTTGGAACCTTCCTGCCCCCATCCCTCCTTTTTCAGTTTCAAAAGTTAAAAAGAAAGGATAGTCAGGATAATTAAGACCAAAAAACAGTTCTGTAGCAGCTTTTGGTAAACAAAAATGGAACGGGCACATACCTGTTAAGTTTAATTGAATGGAAGCACACTGCCTGCCTAATAAATTCTCCATCACCACCTACAGACTATTATTTTAATAATGTCAGGTTCCATGCATTTCCTAGCAAAGTATAAATTTTCTTCTCCCCAAGGCAGACAACAATAATCTGGAACCCTGTCCCACACTGTTTAGAAATACCTTGAAGCTGGGCTCCACAGGAGTGGCATTGGCAGATATTGCTTTGCAGGAATGCCTACTGCTGACAAAGAGAATGGTGATGTTTTCTTTTTGCCTTCACTATCCAACTATTCTGTACTTCTCTCACTAGCAGGATCAATTAAGTGCTATCAGTAAAAACAGCTACAAAAAGCATGCTACCAGAATGCAGTTTGCAGCTGTGGAAAAAAAAGCTAGAAAATTCCCTTCAGACTTCCAAGGAGCACTGGCTCATTTACACATTGAGGATTCAAGGGTGTATGCTTTAACTTCAAAGTTCTTATTAATATTCCTGCTGACCATATACCAGTGAGGTGGAAAAAAAAAAAAAAAGGCAAAAGATAGCTTAGTTTTGTTGACTTTTGGCTTTGATTAAACAAACTGGGACATGCTATGATCAGATGATGTTTTGGCAGGAGTTCCTACCAATTCTTGGAAGACATTCTCTATTAGTCTTAAAAGAAAATACACCAATTTCCTGTAGTGACACTCACATGCTAAGTCACCTTCTGTAACCCCTAAGAAGCTGATGGAGAGTGCAATGAGAACAGGGCACTGTGTGTGGGGAGAAGGAACTGCAGCATAGCGGGACTTCTGTAGCTTACACAAGTGGGGAGGTGAACACAAATGAAAACTTCCTCTTTCCTCAGTGCATCACAAGTTGGGTGGGAGGATAAATATAACCTGAATTAAGTTTTGATTCTTCTTGTTCATTAAAAGTGTTCTTAGCACTCTCACTCCCAATTTTACAAGTGCTCCCTTGGATTTACTGATGCTGCTCTCTGTTGCTACGACAGTAGAGTAATTGGCATCCAATTCAGGTTTAACTGATGAAAAGCCTTAGAAGATTCATAGGTAACAGAAGAACTTAGAAAATAGCTCTCCCTCCCCTTTCTGTGGTTGATAGCTTTTTGAGTAAGATCCAATACTTTTTATTTACAAAGTCCATTTTGTTTTAGATGTCATGGAGAGAACACACACATCTTTCCTGTCATTCACTTATCTCAATATACAGCTTAATCTGGAGGGTCTGATAAATTCTGCAGAACAAAAATGTCGTTGTGAATGCTTCTCATCAAAGATGCTTGGTAGAATGCTGCAGTTTATATGCATTTGAATTCAAACGCTAAGGTACTGCTGCCTCAGATAGCATAAATCGGCTTAAGTCCCATTGACTTCAGTCAAATAAGTCACTTAAACTATTCTGTCATCTTTCTAGCTTTACACAACTAACATTTAAAATATCTTCAGTGTTTGGTAAGAGACGTTACCAAGCTATCATGAGAGCAGGCTAAATCATACTATTTAGGAATCTGGCTCACAGTTACATATGTTCTTTGTTATCCCCTTCAGCTTCTACTAATGCAAAGTATTTTCATGGGTGTCTTTAGTTTTATGTCAGCCGTCATCAGCTAATTTACTCTGCAGTCAGAAAGGTCTGTGGTCAGTAATCAACTCGTTTCTTTCTAGGCAAAGCTAAAATCCTTCGCTGCCAAAATCATTCAGCTCCTGAAGGAATGGACTGAAACTTTCCCCTACGATTTCCAAGATGAAAAATCCATGAAAGAGTTGAAGGAGATTGCTCACAGGATCACGCAATGTGATGAGGTAGGGGTGAGGGGGGAGAAAAAGCATTAAATGGTAAAGCAGTATTTGTCAACCTTTATATATAGCTTATCGTATTATATACAAACTCTTGCTCCTGCATGCAGTATTTTCTAAATGGACTACAGCAGCAGTTGCTGTCAGTGTAACTGCAAGACACGGGCTGAGCAGTGAACTTAACAGTCCATTAGCAGAAACTGTCTATGTATAATCACCAAGTGTAAGAGGAAGAGACAAAATAGTCACAAATGATGTGAAAAAGGGATGTGGTGCAGAAAGAGAAAGGAAAGAACAGTGACTATAATGGCACAATGTAGTTAACTTTCATCATGAATTATGTACCATCCTTTGTACTTTGTTACTACCCTGTACATGTAAGTCCCGCAAGATATATAACTAATTCTATCAAATGTACTCTTGCTCAAGGTGAACATGCTTATTGTTTAATAGTTTGTTCCTAGCTCCTAACAATAATCAGCAACTGTTTTGTTGCTATGTTTCAGGTGACATGCACAGTATTTCCACAGAGAAAGTTATATTTGAGCTCTGCTAGCTAGTCAATCACCAGTCTTAATAGCTCGGGAGTTTCTAGCCTATGATGAAAAGTCTTTTCTGAGATCTAGTTTTCTAAAGCAAATGGATAAAGCAAATTCAAATAAATAAAACAAGGGCTGTTAGTTTTCTGGGTTTTTTGTTTTGTTGATTATTGTTTGTTGGTTTTTTTTCCTCTCAACACTTCAAAGCCTACACTTCTTTCCCCATTGAGAAAGTCACTATAATTACCAATAGACAGAAGGAAGGATATAATCAAGAACTGCAAGGGAATTAATTGTAAAGTGTTTGTATGAATGTGAAGGCTTACTTCTGTAGAAGTAGAAGCTTCTTGTTTTTAAACCCACAACTTCAAGATATTTTTGAGAACAATTAGCAGGAAACAGGAAGACAATTGTATTATGTGTTTTTGTTGATTCAGGTACAGAGAAAATGAAGAACAACAGGTTTGACAGCACTTCATGAATCAGTGATAGGACACAATACAATTAGGTGTTACCAAGTTGCCAAAAGGAAGCATGTCAGTTTCGTTGCATCAGCAAAGCTGTTTACCTGGATGCTACTATGAAAATGTCAGTGCCTTAGTAGGAGGGGAAGAGGAAATAAGATTATAATAGGCCTTCTATTCCCTTTGTAGACAAGGGCAAAGAGGTGTGTGTTGGCAGAGATGCTACTGTGAAAGGGAACTTGGCAGAGGTTTTATTTAGCGTCTGTATCTTAGTGTTTAATTTGTCTATTTGAACTAGAAAGAAGTTGTGGCCTTTCTTTCTCTTCCCCTTCCCTCCCACTCTGTTATGTATGAATAAATTGTCATCTGAGAAAACCACGTCTTTGTGGAGTGGCTCAGTGCTCTGGTCTCTGAGGCATCTGATGACATCCATTAATTACAGCATCACCATATTTATCCCCTTAACAAGGCTACAAGTCAAGTTTGATCAGCAAAGAGCTATGCCACATCTGACCCCTAGGAAACATAATTTGACACTGACAAAAAGCAGCTCTTGCTCTCAGTGTTGTTACCACAACAAACTACCAATATTGTGCTTCAGCAAGGGATTATGGTAATGGCTTGGGGTTTTATTTTGTATTTTAAAGCTTTTCCAAATCCCCGTAGGACACTATACTCCATACATAGGTTAGAAAGTCAACTGAAAACTCACACAAAGCTGTCAGGTGCTTGTCCTAGTGCTATCGGACAGCACACCAAATAACTACAGCCAGGGTTGCGCCCCAAATGAAGTACAAATGTCTTGCTTGAACTCAAAAGAAGGACAAATTATTATACACTCATTGACTTATTTTCCAAACTTGTAAGAAAACACACAGTAAGACTAGCAATGAAAAGAAACTGCTAAAACTCTAAGGGCATTTGTCTAGTATTAAGATGCTAATAAATTCACAATAGCTTAATTAAGCCATAGTTTTTCATGTCACTGCGGTTTTTGTTCACTTTCACATAATACCTGTGATACTTTCACCTGCCTTCAAGTTTGATTCTCTATGATCCATATCCAGAAAGTCTGCTTCCTCCCAGCCACATGGGTAAGTCAGGCATAGCAGCTGAAGTCAAATGATTTCTAATAGGAAGCTCAGCATACCAGGGAGCAGAATTAGCGCTTTATTTTAGTCCCCCACGATGCTCCCTTGGCATTTCTGAACACTTGTAGCACAATATCAGAGCTGCTGTTGAGCGGTAAGCCAGTTGCCTCAAGATGAGCTACACTGCCTTCAGCTTTTCATTTGATTTCACTTGGGAGTCATATTATTGCCTTGTAAAGCAACATTCTGACACTATTATTGCTTAATTATAGCATGCAATATACAAGTATTCGGTAGTCATCGTCTCTCACATCTGCTACGTAATTTCAGTCATCACTGCACATTAGCGGCTTCTTTGAATGATCACAGATTCATTGCAGTTCTTTGTAGTGCACCCAGTTGCCTGGCAGAAACCAACACAGCATGTTGTAAACTAATGGTTAACCTTGTGGCTAACATCAAGAAAAATAATTTGCATGAAAGCAAGAGAACAATTGTGTAGGAAAGAGAAGGACTGTCTTCGGTAGAAGTAGTTTTTCCAGTAGCAGGAAGAACAGGGTCAGAGGACCTGGGTCATTTAAAACAGTAACAGGAGGGATAGAGGATTAGGAAAGTGATCAAGTTAGCTCTTCAGGGTTGATCTCAGAGAAATGTCTATAGGACACAAACAATCAATGGCAGAAAGAATTCAGCTTGCCTTTGTTGTCAAAACACTGAGCAGATAGATTATATTTCTGTGGCTTTACCAGTATGTATCCTTATAGAGCCTACATTTAAAATCTGTACCTGATGAACAGAAAGGCATTTTAGTTATCCAAGAACATAATGTATACTGTGCTCTTACCTAAATCTTTGGATGCTATAGTTGTTCAAAGCCAAGCCATGATATTCTAGGGGTGTATTCCTGGACATGAAGTGAATTCCCTGGATTCTGCCTGGGCTAGATAGACCTGATCATAGTGGGTCTGATCAGAACAAGGAGGCAGCTTTTTGGCACTTGGTACACAGAGGATCCAAGATGCCTTCGAAATGGGGTACTAGCCAAAAACGGCCACAAGGAGCAGACCAGCCAAGCAAGTGGAACAGAGCTGAGAAGACAGGCAGGTATAACAATGTCGTTATGAAATTGTGTGGGCAGTTAGGACAAGCTCATTTGTCACAGGACAATCAGCTCAGGTAAGATGAAAGAAAAAAGGATAATAGGCATTTATTTTTCCCAGTCAGAAATTCTTTGGCAATCTGCGTCTGCAAGAGCTAAAGGTTTTTAGCCGTCACTGTTTCTGCCTTTTGATTAGGAAAATGGAACAGTGAAAAAGATCATTAGCCAGATGACACAGAATCTCCTGATGGCCCTCTCTGCACGGAGCCAGTACCAGGAAATCAGAGAGAAATTCCGGCAACCTGTTACTGACAAAGGCACCATCCTCAAAACCAAGCCACAGTCAACTCAGAAGGACATCCTGAGTGTGTGCTGTGACCCTCTGATCTTGGCACAGCAGCTGACCTATATTGAACTGGTGAGACACTAATTTGTGTGAATTATTTTGTTTTCCATCTACTAAATATTAATATACTCATCAATACGAATTTTGCTATGGCTTCACTGAAAGCCTCCGATGTTTTAATCAAAAAATACCAAGTAATGAACAAGACCAATTAGGTACACCGATAGAAATACCTCACACATCAACACTGTGGGAAGATGAAAGTTACCAAAATGTTCTCCTAACTTTGGCTTTATTGATGCATTTTTCACTGAACTACCTGTTTGTCTGTACAGTGACAATCTCTCATCTCTCCAAACACAGGAAAGGGTGAGCAACATTTACCCAGAGGATCTGATGCAGATTGTCAGCCACATGGACTCCCTGGATAATCACAAGGTACGAGAAGGGGTATGGAGGGAAAAAGAAACAAAGAATAACCAGGGTAAAGAACCTCCATAATTCGAGTATACCCTGTGCAAGAAAGGCTGACATTTTCTAACCTTCTTTAAGCTCGTGCCTTAAAAAATATCCAACAAGATTTTATCAAGACATGAAAAGGAAGTTTATCCTTTGTTATGTTGACTTTACCATGAAACAGAATAGGATGAACATGTGGACTGTTCTCTTACAGTGCCGAGGTGATGTGACCAAAACATATAATTTGGAGGCCTATGACAATTGGTTCAATTGTCTCAGCATGCTGGTGGCTACAGAGATTTGTCGGGTAGGTATTTGTAGAAAACAAGATAGCAAAGCAATCCTGGCCTTAAGGACAAAAGGCAGACAGTGGCCTAATAGAGATTTGAACATTAGCAGTGCAATTAAAGATAATGGCATTACTCAAGCATTAAATTATTTGCATGCTTATATGATTAAGAGTTCATGGCTATGTTTGGCTTTGCATATATTCTCTAGTTTTGTGTAGCTTCTGTAGTAGCATTAGTCACGCAGCAAAACAGAACTTGTGTGGAGTTTGAGTTAGCTCTTCTGGATTTTTTTTTTTTTTTTTAAATACATCCATAAATTCTCAAAGATACTCATCTTTAAATGCAGATTTACCAATAAACAGCTGTCCTTCCAATGCATTTAGATATCATTAGCACTGTCATATATTCATTTTTATACAAAAATCAGGAATAAACTTTCTTCATAAGTCTGGAAAGAAAGTAGACTACCAGAGAGGTTAAAAAAAAAACAAAGAGAGGGAGAATAGCCTTATTAGAGATTAAAGTAACTTCTGTCACATAATAAGCAAAGAAATGGAAGGTATACTGCCCCAGAAATGCCCTTTCCCCCCCAACCCCATGTGTATTCTCTGTCTTTTTAGATTCCTATTAATATGCACCAATTCTACCAAATGGGAATTTTTCTCTGCATTCTTGCTTGGTCAGTAGCCCTTCTGTGGAAATCCAGATGCCTAGTGCAGTTTCATGAAGTCCGATGCATTGATCCTAATCTCTTAAGATTCCTGCTCTCACAGAAACTTATTACAAAACCATACCAAGACATCTTCCAGAGCTGGCTGGTATGGCTAATACATTTAGTAAACCAGTCAAACAAAAGGTTTTAGCATACCAAGGGATAAGCCAAGCCATTGACTACTGAACCATTTTCTTTTGATATGGCACAGAAACTGAAGTATTTAGGTAAGAGGGTTTTTAGAAAAAGGGAATTCCCTGGTGAAGTAGCCTGCAGTCGCCACTCAGGAGCTATTTTTGTATAAGCCAGACCAAGCTTCTAGATCTAAATATGGAAAGGATTTTGATGAATGAATGCAATCTAGGCAATAATACTAGCTTTAAAAAAAAAAATTAAAAATTGATGGCTTTTGGAAATGGAGTTTAGAGACAGTGCTATATATTAATTTTGCTTTGCCATTTATAAAAACATCTGCAAAGATGATGTTCAGCATCACTTGCTAGATCCTTTGCATGTGTGGGAATTTGTATATTTGATCATCATCACTACCTGCTCTCAAGAAGTTATTTAAGAGTATACACAGTAAAATGAGAAAATCGGGACATGGCAATTGTCCTCTCTCACATTCAGGTTATGTGCCCCTGATCTTAAGTCTGTCCACTGCCCTCCCCACTTCTTCAGAGGTTTAAATTTTTTGCATATATTCTTTCTGACAGCAGCTTCATGATCTCTCTCTTTTCCTGTAACAGGAAATTGCTGACAGTGTCCAGCTTGTTTATACAAGATTCCCCAAGACATTGAACTTTATGTATAAACAAAAGTTTACACTCCCCCACAACTAGACAAATAACTGATAGTAGCACAAATACTTCTGCTATTTTATTGAAAATTAATCTTAACAAAATACCCTCAGGCCTGTATCGTCATAAGATTTAGCTGGACAAAGTTTTGAAATGTCTATTCAATCAACCTGTTACAATGCCTTTGACTGAACATCCCATCCAAAATTCAGGCCATCCCTTCCCTCTTAACGGATGTTAGTTTTTTTCAGGTTGTAAAGAAAAAGCAGCGTACAAGAATGGTGGAATTTTTCATTGATGTGGCAAGAGAATGCTTCAATATTGGAAACTTCAACTCAATGATGGCTATTATCTGTGAGTATCCTTAACAGATGACAAAAGGCACTCCATTTTACAATCTGACTGGCAAGACTATGCTCATACTTGCCCTACATGGGGTACCACACCAGCATGCACACTTCTACAGGGGCAGTATGTACCAGTGACAGATTAACGTATGGGTGGGTGAGCGTTAGCTACAACCTTTGTCAAGCTGAACTGCCTTCCAAAATGTGTGGTGCTGATACATAAACACAGTTAAGTTAGCCCTATATTTTTTCAACTCAGTTGTTTCTTTCTTTGTCTCTTCTCTCTCCATTCAGCTGGCATGAACTTGAGTCCTGTGGCACGGCTAAAGAAAACTTGGTCCAAGGTCAAAACAGCCAAATTTGATGTTTTAGAGGTATGTATAAAGTTTAGACTTTATATAGAAATCTACCAAATAGTTTCATCCAAACCTCTGCTGTGGAATTACTAAGTCAAAGGTCACAGAGGCACCTCTGTCAGTGGTCACCAGCATATAAACATTAGGCAGAACATTTCCTGATTTTTAGACTCCCTACTTGCCTGCAGAGAAAAGTGGCTGCAAGTTTTCTTTAGGTTATTTCTTCCTAGCATATTTTTTCCAATTTAACATCAAGGTAGTTTTCAGTCGAGTGAATGCTGTTTTGCTGCCCTTAAAACTAATTAGAGTACTCCATCTAGTGGAGAGCTGAATGAAAGCAAAACTTAATTGAAATTGTCATCAGAAAGATTGGTGACAGCAAGTTAGAATTTTGGGTTTTTTCCCCGATAGTTATTTATCATTTCCTTTCAGTCTTCCATTAACCACTGAAGCAAAGCATAGCAAAGCATGTAAAGCCAGTACAGAACCCTCCTTTCAAACAAGATTGAAGTTAGAAAAACCTGAATCCAGACCTAATTAGTATAAAGTACTCTATCAAGATAAAGTTTAAAAAGGGGCCCAATGAATTCATAAAGAATGAACTGTCTGATGGTTAGATCAAAGCTTTTTTACTTGACTGCCTTTTCCCCCCCCCCATAAAAACAGCATCACATGGATCCATCCAGCAACTTTTGTAATTACCGCACAGCCCTGCAAGGAGCAGCACAGCGATCCCAGACTGCCAACAGCAATCGAGAGAAAATAGTCATCCCAGTTTTCAACCTGTTTATTAAAGATATCTACTTTCTGCACAAAATACATACGAACCGCTTGCCCAATGGGCAGATAAACTTCAAGGTAGGACTTTGCTATTATGGAAACTGTAATGCTTGTTAAACATTGTACATTACAAATGTTTGCCAGTTTTGAACTTCTAGCTTGTTATATTACCAATTTCTTCAGCACTGCTGTGATCTAGACATAAAGCAGTATCGTTTTCTAGGGGAAATGATTTCAAATTTCTGTGAAAGCTAGTGCTTGCAGTTGCCATGTTTATATAACATATCCAGCAGACCCACAATTGCATATACAGAACAGAATCCATAAAAGTGCTGGAATGCAATTGCTTTCAGTTAAAAGATTAGTTTTAAAATGTACTGAAATAGAGATTATTTTTTGTTAGTTTTACATGAAATGGGACAGATGCACTGCAAAACATACAATTCACATAAGCACAACTGATTGGAATAATATTAATTTGTTACCAAAACTGATGCACAAAAAAGTTGAAAAGAAAATAAGAATTTCAGAAGCCAAACCTCCAGCATTAAAAATTACTTAAGTAATACAGAAATAGTCTAATGTTAGCTAATTGGAAAGGGAAGTTTCTTCAAGGAACATTGTACTCATGCAACACTTAAAAATAAAGGAAAGCACTTGAAATCAAGAAGCCTAAGAATTTTAGTGTACCACGTATGATGGCTGCTCCTCAGCCTTGCACCCTGCCTTACGTTTAAAAGCGATTGGGAGAAGTGGAAGGCAGTAAAGAATGGAAAGTAAGCTTTTCTGTGGCAGCAAGCCATCATATCTGTCTGACCAAATTGTAATAGGTAACTTCACCCTAAATCATCAGCATTAGCTGATTTAACCTCATCAGGTTAGCTAGCTATTAACACTACACACAACCGGCAAATGGTATTTAGCAGGTCTTCAAGGGATTTTCTACAGCTTTTGGAGTCTCTCTCCCTGACTGATAAACATACGTGTCCAAAAGACCACAGCCTGTCAAAAGTACTTTTGAAGTTTTTTGCCATTATTAAGGCTGGATAAGGGGAGGGTGGCACACAGAACATACAAGACAAACCCTAAGCAATTATGCATGCCTTAAAATCCTAGGAAGGAAAGGATATCTATAGTTTCTATATGTTATTTTGATTATTTCTTAAATTTAAGAAGTGCTTTATAAAAAAATCAGATATGTCACATTTCATTTAGGTTGAAAGTTGCAAATGTAAAAAGTAAATAAAAACTATTTACTGACCAGTTCCACTCGCAGGCTAATTTAGAGATACAACACAGAAAACAGGCCAATAGCACTTTATTATATATGAAAAGGTTGATGATTAAAAGAATTGAATGCAAAAGACCAAGTAGTTAGCAGGGATACACTGTTCTAAACTTGAGAGGCTAATGACTGATGAGGAACTAGAAGCAAGAGGGGGAGATGAAGGGAGAAGTAAGAAGAAAGGATAACAAGGAAGAAGACTAAGGGATAAGAGAAGAGGTATGAATAAGAACAAGACTGAGAGGCTCCAAAATTGAAACAAAACAACTAACATTTGAAAGAAAAAGAATATTATTAAAATCATATTTGTTTAACTACCTCATGCAGAAATTCTGGGAAATTTCAAGACAGATTCATGATTTCCTGACATGGAAGCAGGTTGAGTGCCCTTTTGAAAAAGACAAGAAGATCCAGAGCTATCTACTCACAGCACCCATTTATAGTGAAGAAGGTAAAATCCTTTACTGAATATTATAGTGAGTCCTCCTACTTGTTGAAATGCAGACAGAATATGCAGAAAAATTAACATGCAAAAAAATATTTGATAAGTATGTATCATCACTTCCATATTGGCTTCTGTTGAGAATAAATGTCATTATGAAGTCTGCTAAGTTACACCCACTATATTGTAACTTTTGGGGTTTGTTGGTTCACCCCCCACCCTCCCCAGTTAAAGAACCCATATATCTGATTGTTCTTACTTTATTTACTAGCTCTGTTCATTGCATCCTTTGAAAGTGAAGGTCCAGAAAACCACATGGAAAAAGACAGCTGGAAAACACTCAGGTATTAAACTTCTTCAGAATATGAGTCTTTTTGCAGACCTACACAGGCATGCGATTATCAGCTTCCTCCCTCCTATTTGCATACACAGCTTAAGACCATTTTGCCCCAAATATAATTATTTTTTCCTCATAATTCAAATCTGAAAAAATTCAATAGGGCTTGGATTTTGATACAGCTTTTCCAGCCAGATCAGTTCAGGCAGCAAGATCACTGCTGGGACTACGAAAGAATATGCTTCGTTTAGGCTATCAAATACAGTAAAAGAATCTACATTTGTGGCAGTTTTCAGACATGCTTTTCTCAGGGGAACAAATATACAGAGACACCAAAAGGTGCTATCATTTATCATACCTACACACTTACAAATCTTATAAAAGGATGAAATTTTACATGAATACTCTAATTTTCAGCCTACTCTTAAGGGAGAAAGTCTCAATGACTCCTCCCTCCCTCTGAGAGGGGGAAGCACCTCTTCCATGTACATAAGATCAGTTAATTTAGATGAGATTTCTTCTAATACCAAGGGCAAGGCAGAAAGAGAGATTTAGACCTTTGTAAATATGTTAAACATTTAGATTTGACATATCTGTACCAGATAAAGAATGAATGAAGCCGCCTATTTATCCTGAGCCGCAGTTGAGCTACATTATGACTGTATTGTCCTAGACAAGACACTGTTTCCCATTGATCCCACTGTTTTATAGGAAGTCCACGTAAGCTTTTCACTTGTGACACCCATGCAATACACCTTGCATTCAAATCTGATGCTGTTCAGCAAGCGATAGTTTAGGATGACAGAAGAACATATGTTATTTGCCCAAGAGCATCTTAAGGGCCTGAAGTAATGTTACGAAAGTTACATTTTTGTTTAAATTAAAGTCAGCATCTTTATTGGAATTCATAGATGTATTCCAGTTTATAGCAGTTGAAAATCTATCCCTTGAAGAAAGGCTTCCAGCTAACGATGCAAGATAGATCTATTGCCAACCTTTACCAAAACTGTAAAACTTTTTGTCACGATAGAAGAGATGATTTTATTTTTTTACTACTACTTCTTCTAGGACAACTCTGCTTAATAGAGCCTGAGATTTTTGGATCTGATCTGCAGACTTTGAAGCACATCGAATGAACATGTTTTTACAGCGTGAAAGACTTGGACTGAGCTAAGAAAGACCTCACTGGCTGAGGTCTGTTTTGTATATACAGTAACTTTTATGAAATAAAATGTGGTAAATATTTCACATGTCAACCTTAAGGCACTTAAGTGAAGGGTTTTGTTTTTTTATTTTAAATATAAGGGCAGGGCCCTGTTCTCAGAGATGAAATGTATCATGGGAGATGGTATCCCTGGGGAGATCTTATTCTATCAGCATCTAAATTTTTATTTTTTATTACTTCCACCAGAATAAATAAAAATGAAAACACACATCCCAACTTAAGCCAGTGTTCAGGTTAAATACTCCATTGGACCAGTATCTTACAGAACACTCAACATGTCTCTCTAGCTTTGAAGTGAAGGGTCTCTTTCAAATCAGTGATACCACTCACATGTGTTAGTGTTTGTAGAGTCAAGGCCTTAGACATCTGCAGTAAGCATGTTCCTCTCCTACATCAGAAAATAGTGCCTTACAAGGTACACTAAACGATATCAGTACCTTCTATTACGCTGGACTGGAAGTAAAGAAAATAAAAATATGGATGTCTCGAAACCAGCTACAATGTACTTTTTAAATAAAATGGAGAATATGGCACACGAAGTAGAGTATACCTGCCTGTAACATTGATGGTGCAGCAAACATATTTTTGTTACATGATTTAAAAGAGGTAAGATGGGGTAACTGCTGGGGGGGATGCGCGTTTGTGTGTGAGTATGTGTGCGTGCATGTGTGAAGATGCACACGTGTCTAAGTTTTAAGATTTCTGGGAACTATCCTTTAAATTCTGGCTGTCAGAATAGTTTGTGTTTTCCTTTTTAAAAATCAGGGATTTTTTTTGTTTTGTTTAAGAGAAGGATATCTAACCTAGATTATCTCTGCAAAATAGGCTCAATATTTTTTTTCAAAACAGTTCTTGGAAAATAAAAATCATACATGAGCTAGGGAGAGGGAAGTAAACTCAGATGTCCAATTTGAAGTTAAGGCTAAAATTTCCAAAGAAGCTTAAGAAGAGTTCATCACCACTGAACCGGTTATTTAATTCCCTTGGTTCCTTTGAAAATGCTTGTCTGCACTTAGAAACAATTAAAGCAAAGACCAACTTATGATATAAGCTTTTTCAAATATTTTGCAAGCCATGATTAACTGTGGGCCAGAACCCATTGAAATATAAGGGAAAACACTGTAAGAAATTGGTCAAACTTCTGAACTCGGGCCAGTACCAAAATTAGAACTGATCTGTAAACCTGCTAATGCTTACCATTTCTAATTTCTCCTTTTAGTCTTGAGTTTAGACCTAATTTGGCTATCCAAGTGAGCACCTGAGGAGCCTACGTAAAGATTCAAGGTATTCATTTCTAGGAAAAAATATACAGTTCAGGACTTGCTTTCTCACCCGATCTCTGAATTAAGAAAAAAAAAAAAGGCTCAGATTAAAATCTGTTTTGTCTAATGAACAAATTATTACCCATGAATATCTACTGTCCTTTCCAGTAATTGTTCTTTTAAGGCTTAAGGCCTGGATATTCGTAAAGACGATGACTTCAGCCAGACAATTAGATATTTTTTTGTTTTTTTTTTTTAAACAAGGCCCTCTAGAGTTTACAGTGATTATAGCCTCCCTCATAGAGCCTCACAGAGGACTTCTGCACAAGCTTCTTTAAAAATTATCAACTCCAAGTAGATGAGTTTTATCTTACTCTGCCTTCTACTGAAGAAGGGGCAAGACTTGCTGGACCCAGGGTCTGGTTTATTCCAGTCCAGTAGACTCTTCTTGCTGAGTGCCTACAACCAAGAGCAGTGCCACTGTTTCATATAGCATCTGCAATCACTTAGTAGAAATTATTTGCTGTATTGGCCCTGTAGTACAGTGAAAAATTAAAGAGCCTTCCCTCTCTCCCTGTTCCACTCCCCCCTTGACAAATACTTAAAATTAGAAGAGTAAGTTGAGGTAAGGAAGGGAGATAAATCAACATTTTGCTATTCTCATAGCATTGACATCAAAGAGAAACAAAAGCAAGTCATGCCACGAAGAAAGAAGTAGAATACTGTTAACAGTAACAGCCCAGAAAAGGGGAAGGGATAATTCTTATGATCTGCTGCTATTTTTCCTGTGCTGAAGTACTGACCTTCAGCCCTGGATTAGAGTAAGAATATTTATACTGTATTATTACAGTGTTTTGCACTTTCAGAGATGTTCTAGCTAGTAACATTGTCAGACACTATAAGAGGGATTGTATATCAGCTTTGTTTATGTAATTGAAATTCAAAAGGGATGCTTAAAATTTAAGAAAAAATATATATTTGAAATGCAATTTTAAAACACTTTCTGTAAATGTATAAAAAAAGCTTTCACATGAATGTGCACTTCACTGGTCAATCAGTTCTAGTATATACTTGAAATCAATGCAGTATCCACATCGGTTCCTTTTTATTTTTCCTCCCTCAGTTTGATACATTCCTTAAATACTGTGTTTTGCTATTCTGAGCTGAAATGCTAAATATAAAGCTGTACCATAAAGCAGGATATTCCGTGTTTGACTGGATGTGCTTGCATTAATAAAAAAAAACTTGCTTCAACCAGGCTTAACTTTTTCCATGTTTATTTTTCACTTGCAAACGGATCAAGACACAAACGAGCGGCTGAACGAGGTGAACCAACTGTGGAAGGCAATACAGTTGCTATGAATCAACAGGTTACTTTCTGACTTAAAAAGATACATTATGAAATATTTAAATATCTTTCAACAAAAGGCAAGAGCAACACTAAGCCAACAATATGCTGCTACTTCTAATGTGCTCTCTGTAATAGTATTTTATGGGTTTGATACAGTGTCTCTGCCAGGGAACATATTCATTCTCTCAATGAAAGTGATGAACAGTTCCACTGTGTAAAAACATTTTTCGTGTCCCAAGAGTTGAATTTTGTTTTTTTCCTCCCACATATTTATCCTTTTACCAGAAAAGCACAGAAACGTTTGCTGGCAGCAGCAGACTACAAGGTTTCCTGTCGCAAGATTCTGTTGACATTTCAACGCTCCAGGACGTTTGGTGGCAACCACTACCCTTTTTCATGCCCTACTTTACAGAAGCAAAGCCACTTCTCCAAGGTCACATAGGGACTAGACAAGCACAGGCCTGTGAGGAGAATCCAGCTTTCCTAACACACTGCCCCAGTGCTACCTACCTCCTTTCTCAGGAATATAAGCCTTTAAAAAAATGTTAGATCTTGCAAGTGCAGGAGATCCAGAGGTACCGTAAGCATTTTTAATCCGTTGAAAACTCTCTGGGGAAATTGTTTTGGTAACCAGACATCCACAACAGACTCCCAGAGTAGAACAGTACTACTTTCAGTCATCATGGCTCATTAGAAAAGATAATGATGTTTACCAGCATTAAGAGGATCAAGCAGATGAGTCTTCCTGATGGCCAGTTTACACTCATAATTAACACCCGTATAACATCCTTGAAGACTCCCTTCCAATTATGTCCCATCCAGTCATTAGGATAAATAAACTATTTACACAAGCATAAGAGTAAACAATAAAATTGCTTTCCAGGCACTTTACTGCCATTAGAGCACGGCACTGTATGACAAGCAGTAACTCAGCACCAGTAAGGTATCTTTAGTTATGTTAGCAACTTGATTTATCAAGTTAATAGTTCCCAAGCAGCAGCTTTCTTCTAGCAAAAAACTCAATTTACCAAAATTCAACTGACTAGTCAGCTGACAACTGATATTAGTAGTACATCTTTTGGAGACAAATCAGTAATTCTTCTGAGGAGGCGCAGACAGATCTTCCCTCTTCAATCTGCAATGTATATAATTTTATCAGGGCAACCCCAGCTTCCCAACTAACCACAAAAGCCTGCAAACAGCGTGTGGAAGCACAGTTTTGTCTTATAGTTCTTGGCAGCTATTAAATGGCTGTATGCAGAGTGAGATATTTAAAAAAAAAAATCAAGTTGCAGAAAGACTTTATCCTAAACCATTAGTGCATGCTATCGAGGAAGTTTCCAGACCAGTGAGCATGCAAATATTAGCAATAGTTGCTTTCAAATTCTTCCTTCCATGCTTGTCCCTGGAAAGGCAGAGATAACTGGGTATGCTCTGAGGTTTCAGCACATCTCTACAGGCCTCCAACAGAGGTTCGGTTTCCTTCACCGCTCCTCAAGGCGTGCCTTGGGCTTTGTAAGAGAGAGAAACAACATTTTGGGGTGTATTTCTGCAGTAATTTGGAGGTGCAATATAAAGTGTAGCCATTTCCATAATGTTATTCATAACAGCTAGGAATTTAAATGTTTCTAGTATTTCCAATGTTGTAAGCAATTTCTAACATCAGCATTTTTGTGGCTCCTTGATACCACATTCAGCTTTTGCACAGAAAATGGATGCAGTTGATTGCTGCAGAATAATTGTGGGATGTTAGTTTATTTCATAATGAAATATTAAAAATTCAAGTTCTGTCATGCAGGGACTGCTGATACAGCCTCAGACAGATACTCTGCCTTCTCCTCAAGAAGTGTGATGAGGAAGAAATTCAAACCACCAGGAATTAGAACATTAATTTAAAATACTAAGACAGTAAATATACTGTTTCTGATCTACCAGGATGAATACCTTAAGATATTAAGAACACTTAGGCTTCTAACAACTAGTAAGAAAAAGCACTTCTATATAAAATGTTCTGTAAGAAACACTGTTTGGCAAAACCAGTATACAGTTACTTGAAACCATGAGTAGCACCTACCAGAAAAAAAAAAGCCAAAACCACCCAACAAAACCCCCAAAACACAAACTAAACACCCAAAATGCAGGGCTGTTGCCATGCAGAGGATTCCTGTTAATAGCCCCACCTCAGTGCGAGGTGCAGAGACCATTTCACAGGATTGAAAGAAAGCTGAAAACACACACAGGCCAAAGCACCAGTTTCAAACATCCCCGCCTAATTTGGGTCAGGGAGGAAGGAACTTTAAATTTAGTGGAAATTTGCTTCCAGTCTTTTATAAATCTTATCTAGCTTCTTCAGATTAAGCAGATATCTTAACCTTAAAATTAATATAATTCTGTTTGGAGGCAGAAGTCCAATAAGATCCAACAGAACCTCATTACACAGACAGAAAAGGACTTAACATCTTT